AATATTATTAAATATTTCCTTTTCTATGGGACAATCTTTTCTTGTAACATAGCATGCTTTATGCGATAGTGACATTTTAATATCTTTAGGGATCCTAGTTGCAGGGTCTGGTAAATTATCAGATGTTTGGCATCTCATTTCATCCAGCAAATGTCGACATTTTCAGCAATTATGGCCTGGATCAAAGTTGTATTCTTCAAGTTCAACATTTAATTTTAGTAGTTTTAGGTTTTTGCAATATTTAAAGTTTTCAATAACATTTGAAACTATTATTAAATATGGACCTCCAGGACGAATTCTTCATTTTCCAAATCGATTTGCTAAATAGTCTGTGAAAATTAATCAAGCATAACAAAATTAAACCCACTGTTTAGCAAATATCTAATTAATTAATTAAGCCATTGCATCTATGTTCAATGGCTAAATTACTATCTCTTGTTAATCATTCCATTCTTTTCCCTTGATTTGCTTCTATTCTTTTTGTCATTTTCCCAAACATTGCAAAGAAATAAAAGATGTTCATCTAAATCTGATGTCTCTTCTTTCAGTGGATTTTTTTTGTTTTTAGTCTCAGCATATATTCCTTTGTCGCAATTTTCCAAACTTTTAAGATATTTTCAATGATATTAACTCTTTCTACAGCATTCTTCCCATGTAATAATGGGCATGTTTTACTAGCAGCTACGGTTTGATTACAAAAATCATTTAAATAATGGAAAAGATTTTGCCACTTAACACGTTTTGGTAAATTGTTACATTAGTTTCGACAGCTTAATAAATTGTGTTTTTCATACTCAGAAAGACCTTTTAAGATTTCCCATTTTGGTGACATTTTTTTTTACGTTCAGAATAAAAAAGTAATTCAAACGTAGGTTTAGTAATCCAATTGACCCAAATATTTTTTGAAAAAAGGTGAGCATAATCAAAAAGTAAGTACAAATCATTTTTAGGTATCCAAGGCTTATTAAAAACAGTGTCAAATATTACAAAAAAAGATTGATAGGTCCTGTTGTTGTCACGTACAACTGTAATTACTTGACCATTTAATTGTTTGATTACATCAACACTATATTATTTTTTCATATGAAACAGTTGCATCTAATTTTTTAACCGTAATCATTTTAAGTAGAATATTTGGGCTACCATTTAAGCATTTAACCATAATGCCCAAATACTATTTTGCTAGTCTCTCAGAATTTCAGACAAACCAAATAAATTTCCTCCATGATATTGTAGAGCAACTTTCACATCCACTTCATCAACTAAAATAATACATTTTGTCTGATTTTCAGAAATATTACTAAAATTACCATCAAGAACATTAAAATGATCTAATTTTGAAACTTTTGATGTCAAAGCTGATAATGTTCTCACACTAAGTAACTTAAAATCAATCTGAAGTCTGTTATATAATGACTGAGTTGTAACAAAATATTCAAATTCCCTGATAAGAACATCAGAATCATAATATTTTGCCCCAATCTTTTGTGGTGATATAACATTAATATGTTCTTTTAAAACTTTTTGTTATTATAAATTTTAACATAATAAGATAACGAATTGCTCCACCGATTTGTGACCAGTACTGAAAAATTGACATTCAAATTTTTGAAAGAGAAAAAATTGTTGTATATATAACAGCATGCTATCATTCGAATCTAGAGTTTTCAAAAATTTGAATTAAAACATTGGAATACCTCCACTGAAAAAAAAAAAATCAGTAGACTGGGTGAACAACCGATTGTTTGATATATAGCATGTAACTGCTGACTCAGAATCCTTTTGATCAATATTCTAATATAAATTTTCAAAAGGGAGTGTTTTGTCCTTTTCTCGAAACTGTGCCAACTCATCATTTTGCACATTTTGCACAAAGGAAAAGTTTTATTTGTTGTTCTCTCTTCTGGTTGAGGACTAGGAAATGGCAAATGATCAAATACTGAATGCATATTTCTGATCGTGCTTTTCGTCTAATAACCACTGTTTCAGAATTAAATGAAAAATTCATATCATGAACAACAGTGTTTGGTTTATCAAGGGATGTTGTCTCGAGGTATAACATTTAAGCATGGTTCTCGCTCATTCTGATTTCGGGGAAGACGAAATACATGAACCTTAATTTGGTAATGACACTTACCACGATAACTTGCTACACAGCACTTTTTGACGATTTTGAGAAAAGGTTTTAGTAAAAAATATTAAGTAACCTATTATTTTGTAAAAATGACATAGTGCTTCTAGATAGCAACGTGAATTCTAAGGTCGGGAGGGTTTGAACTTCGGAATTTCGTTTTTAGAATTTAAAGTTTAAAGTTTTTATAAATGTGGGAATCTTTTAGATATATATGGATTAAGAAATGCCAGGACGAAGGAATTTGGGATTCAGTCATGGGAATTTTAAAATTTGGAAAATTAAATTTTCGCTAATCGTTTTCTACGGGGATAAAATACGATCATCTAAGCAAAATTAACCGGTTTAATATTTTTAAAGTATATATTTAATATTTTGAAAGCATACATTTTTAAAAAAATCATCTCTGAAGATATTAAACTGGTTAATTTTGTTTTACATTTTTAACAACAATGCTTGTAAAATTCAACATACATTTTTTTTAAATATCCATGAATAATTATTTTCAAATTTTCAAGTAAATATATTTTTGTTATGAAGAATAATGTCATAGACAAAATATTAAATTAAATATTTTTCAAATGGGCTAATTTCTGTATTGTAAAATAAAAATATTTACAGTGCAGAAAGTTATTTTTTATGTTTTCTTACAAGACAGTATTTACATAATTTACGTGTTATAAAAAAAAAAACAAATTATTCATTAAAAAATAAATTTTATTGTCAAAATATTCGTTATTATGAAGAATAATAACATAAAGAAAAAATAAATTGACTTTCTGTGGCAAAATTCTTAATAATGACTTTTTGCGAATTTCGTTTTTTAAAATAATCGCAAAAAAGTAAAAGAAGACAATGTCATCTCTTTTACATTTTTGTGGTATATTTTTAAGAATAGTTGTAAAATATTAAATCTATTATTGAATTTAATTTTTGACATTAAATTTATATAATAAATTCTTTAACAAGTGTCATTTTTTCATTAAATTTGTAGTGAAAAACATTACATTTTTATTTTTAATGTCTTCTGTATATTTACGAAGGACAGAAAAATTAAACATATTTTAAAAAAATAATAATATTAAAGAAAGAAAATAATCAAAAGTAATCAATGTTATACTTAATATGGTCATTGTTAAAGAAAAATAGAGAAAATATTAAATTTAAATTAACCTTGTGATAAATTCTTTTCCTAATTATACTTGTGAATTTCGCATCGAAAAATTTTGTTTAAAGATAGAATATGCAAAGTTCAAATAAAATTAATAAACATTATACTTGCTTCAATGTCTTAAATAATAAGATTAAGTTAATCCAAAGGTAAAACGTAAAAATTTCTTTAAAAATAATAGAAACATTCTTAATCCAATTCCATCAACGAACTTTCGCGTGTTAATCGTTTGCCCCCAGTCGCCTATTGGCCTTACTCGATGTAAAGGTCTGAGTTATGGATAGCCTTAGACGCTGCACACAAAAGAGGAATTTCTTTTAGGGTCGTCGTGCTATACAGGTTAAATCCGTAAAACAAAAAAAAAAAACAAACAAAAAAAAACTAATACTTGTAACTTTCTTCTTTCTATTTGTGTATTTTCTCTGAACTAATTTTTATCAGCATGTTTGCTGTTTTGGAGTCACGGTGGAGTAATTGATAGCGGCTCCTTCTGAGGAATCGGAGAGCCGAGTTCGAATTCCAGTCGAGTTCATTACACTCCTTCACGTGCTAATATTATTTGGAAAAGATATGAATCCATCTCTTCTCCTCGCAGCTATGCGTAAATAACAGGACGGACTGGGCCCTATAGCCTTGGTTGGCGACTAGTCTAGAAGGGAAAAAACACTATTGCTATGGCTGCAGGGCATGTAGTTCTCCTATGACCCTAATGAGTTACAGGATACGTGATTGTGATCGATGTTTTTTACCGCGAATATCTTTTCTGTTAAACTGCAACTTTTCTAATATTTCATGTATCCCTTCAGTAATGGAATCACTGGAAGAGTTTTCTATATTATAAAATCCTTCCAAACAGGTAGAACCCTCAAGGTAGTTATTAACGACCAGTCCACCGAGTTTCCGGTAGTCAACACAGGCGTCCCTCAAGGGTCCCTCTGACAATATATAATAAATAATGAACAATTTCGTATTAATCTTGGTTTAGTGAAAAGAAAGAAAGAAAGAAAGAAAGAAAGGGTGTAAAGACAGAAAAAAACGACACACGTTACTTGGCACTGCTTGGTTTAGTGAGAAAGAAAGAAAGAAAGAAAGAAAGAAAGAAAGAAAGAAAGAAAGAAAGGGGAAACAGAAGTGTTTAACGTCTTCTGCCAATATCTCATAAATAGCAGACTATTCCTTTTGATCGAGTCGGAAGAAAGAAAAGGCATATTAGTTACACTGCTTGGTTTAGTGAGAAAGAAAGAAAGAAAGAAAGAAAGAAAGAAAGTGGGGGAAACAGAAGTGTTTAACGTCTCCTGCCAATATCTCATAAATAGCAGACTATTCCTTTTGATCGAGTCGGAAGAAAGAAAAGGCATATTAGTTACACTGCTTGGTTTAGTGAGAAAGAAAGAAAGAAAGAAAGAAAGAAAAGAAAAGAAAGAAAGGGGGAAACAGAAGTGTTTAACGTCTCTTGCCAATATCTCTTGGTTTATAAATAGCAGACTATTCCTTTTGATCGAGTCGGAAGAAAGAAAAGGCATATTAGTTACACTGCTTGGTTTAGTGAGAAAGAAAGAAAGAAAGAAAAAGAAAGAAAGAAAGAAAGAAAGAAAAGTGGGGAAACAGAAGTGTTTAACGTCTCTTGCCAATATCTCATAAATAGCAGACTATTCCTTTTGATCGAGTCGGAAGAAAGAAAAGGCATATTAGTTACAC